AGGGTACAACAATGTTTTCAAAGATCGACTTGAGATCGGGGTATCATCAGCTGAAGGTTAAGGTAAGCGATATACCGAAAACTGCGTTCAGAACTCGTTACGGACATTATGAATTTACTGTCATGCCCTTTAGTTTGACCAATTCTCTAGCTGTATTTATGAATCTAATGAACTGAGTATTCCCTCAGTACTTAGACCAGTTCGTCATAGTATTTATTGACGACGTACTCGTGTACTCTAAAGATAAGAAACATCATGAGGAACAACTTCGAGTAGTACTCGAAACCTTGAGAAAAGAGAAATTGTATGCCAATTTCAAGAAGTGTGAATTTGGCTCGATCAAGTGGGTTTCCTTGGTCACGTAGTTACCCCTCAGGGTATTGAGGTAGACCCAGTTAAAGTGGAAGTAGTAACAAATTGGCCTAAACCGACCAGTGTGGGTGAAGTTAGTCGTTTCTTGGGGTTGGCTGGCTACCATAGGAGATTTATTGAGTGTTTCTCGAAAGTAGTAGGTTCGATGACTCAGTTGACTTGAAAGGCGGTGAAGTTTTAGTCGACGAAAAAATGTGAAAAATATTTTCAGGAACTCAAACAGCAATTAGTTTCGGCTCCTATATTGACAATTCCCGAAGGTTCAGTTGAGTTTGTAATTTATAGAGACGTCTCCAAGCAAGATTTGGGATGTGTTCTGATGCAACGTGAAAATGTGATTGCTTATGTCTAAAGGCAATTGAAGCAATATGAACATAATTATCCTACGCACGACTTGAAACTTGAAGCGGTAGTTCACGCTTTAAAAACATGGCGTCATTATCTATATGGAGGGAAATGTGAAATCTATATGGATCATAATAGTCTTAAATACTTTTTCACACAAAAGGAACTGAATGTGAGATAGAGAAGGTGGTTGAAGTTAGTGAAAGATTATGACTATACAGTTCCTTACCATCCGAATAAAGCTAACGTAGTCGCAGATGTTGACCTATGATTCAATATAACTCCACTTGTTTTGATTATAACAAACATTCTTGTATTTTTTAACAAACTTCGTTTCTTGAGTTTCTTTCATGTATAAATTGTCTCAATCATTCAAAGGACTTAAATCGTCATCCGTTGCAAATCACTCAGAAGTGATTCAAAGAAACCAAGACTTTTGAAGAATAGAAGTTTAGAAGATATCTTTATCGACTCTTCAAAATTATATGTAAAGGTATAACTTGTTAATTTTTAGCAAGTATAAAGCTCAAAGTTATTTTTTATACATCTCATAACTT